TTTATTGACCGGAACTAAATACTTGTTCCCAATCTACACTTCACAGATCTCAAAAATATTTAGGTTCCTCTACTCATACGAGTCACACATGTTTGGATTTCCTCAAAATATCATCTCCATCAATAATGATGGACTACATTAAGAAAGAGAATTAGTTTTCTGTCATCCATGGAGGATTCTCAAGAATCAGTGAACAGAAATGGATTCCACAACATCATGATGACGATCCACTCTTCTTCTCACCAGGTATCCTTATCTTGGCTTAACTTGAAAGTCTTTTATGTGGGAATCACCAAATGTGAGGTAGATAATCCAACTCCACAGTACCTTACCATGAACAACATTCCACTAAATCCCAACACCCTTCTTGAAGTAAATGGTGCAACAACCAGCACCTACTCTCATTGTGTGTCTTCCCGTCACGACCCCAACTCACCTCAAACAAGATGGTGTAGTGATTGGCCAGTAGTTCTTAACTACCAAAGACCTAACAAAACAAAAGCAAGACTTTTTCCCTCTTTTTCTCCAAATCTCTCAACCAAATACAGCGTTAATAAAGTTGGGGCAAAATCTCCTTTTCATGTGTGGAAGCCATTATCTACCATATTAAGTCCATTTACAACATCCATTTAAAGCGGTGCGTAACTATATGAAATAAAAGCAAACATTCTCTTTAGAACCATTACATTAATAGGAGACATAAATAATAAACATATTAGAATACATGTCTTAATTCTACAAATCAACACAACCACAAAAGACCGGCTTCTAATTAACTTCTTGAACTTGAACTCTAAACATGATTTGAAGCTCCAAAACTTACGCAAATCAAAGAGATATATGATGATGAAGGTTCATAAGTTTCAAGTACACCATAAACAACTTCAAAATGAGATGAAATCCTTTCTTACCTAATTCTTCACTACCTCAACTTCTCCTATTATTTTCCAAACTTGTTCATTCCTAAATCAATTTAATCCTAACTTTTTCTTGATCTTGAATGCTAGGAAGGTCTACTACATGAATTAGGATAGAAATCTTACCTTTGAACACTTTTTAAATTGAATTTGTTGAAGTTCTTGTGCTCTCCCTCTTTTCTCTCTTTCTCTATTCTTCGTTTCTTCTCTAGCTCCTTCACGTTAGTTCTAGGCTTCTGGAGTCTCTTCTTCTTATTTGATTTGGGTGTTGAGCTTTTATTCGGTGAGGCGGGGCAAGAGGGAGGTGTATGCATAATTCATTTGTATGCCTCACCAATTTATCTAATCTCACTTACTTAGCTTACTTAATTGATCTTAGGTATAATTAATCAAGGTTGGTCTCTAATTAATCAAGGTTTGACTTAATCTTACTTAACCTAATCAATCTTGATTACGGTTCACTAATCTTGCTTGATTAACACTAATCCCAATCAGCAAAATGATATATGGTATTAAAATGAGGAGTACATTAGTCTAAGATCTTTAAACTCCTCAATTAGTGCATAGGCACATCCTAGTGTTCCCAAACTTAAGCTTAAGACATTCCCCTAACTCTTGATAATCTTTCAACTAGTTATACTCTTAAGTTTCATTAAAACATATTTTCATCTCCAAGTTTCTTACTAGGTATATATATCTTCTAAGGTTTCCATCTTATCATCTCATAGTTTGATTTCTAGAACATAGTAAGCTAATTAAATCAGATATTTTGCAAAATAAGGTGGTCAATGGAATAATTATTTTGGCCTAAGGTATTCAAATATGGATAATAACAAGTTACAAGACGTGGCATTCTTTGGGGTGTCACACTTCCCTTCTCAGAAGAGATCGTTTGGACAAGAAATCCGAAGAAGTAATATTTGTGTGTACCGATAGCATATGGGTGGCCCAAAGTGTGAAATTTAATGTTTTTGATAAGGATGTTCGGATTCTATCTCGGGTACTAGAGTTGTGTACTAATAATGGTTGCATTGGGGGATCAGAGGATCATGATCGGAGATGGAGCATGAATTGCGAATCAGAAATGGATGCTGGAACCAGGTTTTTGAAGGGGAAACCGGACACGGGTCAGGAATCGGATTCGCCAAGAACCGAGGTTTATGTTGCCGGTTGCTTTGATGGTACTCCGATTATCTTAACTAAAACCGTGCAACTTAGTCTTTGCAAGAAGCAAATGAGGACAGGGATGTTGGATTCAATACCAAAATATGAGCTTTTGTTTTTCCAAGTTATGGATGTTTAGCTTGCTAGCAACAGTTCCTTGGGCTACAGCTTATAAGCTGACATATTTTTGTTTTTACACAAGTTTAGGGAACTAACCATGCTAGTTGATTTTTTTATTTTTTACGAAAGGACGTGCAAAAAAATAGAGAGAATATGATTTTTTTTATAATGACATTTTAGCTCTTTGGTTATATTAGGTGATTGCCAAACCAACCCGAGTCAAATTTTTTACTTTTTAAGTCGGTTTAGACTATACAATAAATCCTAAGGATTAAAAATATTTAAGAAAAATTGAAAAAATAAGAAGGAAAGCTCTGGTATAGCACTAAACTTTGCCTATGTTGATTTTATTCACGTAGTTGCTGTCGAAAAGCATTATTCACACACTATCAAAGTGTATGAGCAATACACACTATATGATTGGTCCAAAACTATCCAAACAGTGCATTGACCTTACCTAAACTTGTAGGCTCCACAATTTTGGACCAATAAAAATACATATTTCAGAATCTATGAAATCTTATCCTAGGAGGGTCAGTAGAGAGAGTGCAGATCCTCTCCTTGCAAAGCCAAACTTGCGAGCGTCCTTGCAACGGCTGAGATCAGCCGTTGCACATCCAACGGCTGAGATTAAAAAAAAAAAAAAAATGAAATTTCAGATTCGAAACCAGAGCTTCTCTGAATAACCAAATCTCTTTCTTTCATATATATACTTCATCATCATCACTCTCTCTCTAGAAATTGCATTTGGGTCTCACACAAAACCTCCATTAATGGAATCCTCATCACCAATCTCAATTCAACAGCCTCTCCACCATGACCCAAATCCCGAATCCTCTCCAAAACCACAACCCCCTCGTTCCGTGAAGACTCTTATTTTGTTTCCCACCTCAAATCCTCCGAACGCAAAGCTCTCCAAGAGCTTAAAGACAAGCTCATGGCTTCTCATGGTCCAGACTCCATGTGGGCCATCTCTCTCCTCTCCAATGACGACAAATCAGATGTGATTCTCCTCAAATTTCTCCGAGCCAGAGACTTCCGAGTCACTGACTCGCTCCGAATGCTTCTCAAGTGCCTCCAATGGCAAAAAGATTTTTATATATTTGGTTAACACAGTTGATTCGAATTTGATTCATATTCATTGTTGAAAAATCTTTGGAGCAGAGAGTTGAAAGAAAAATGAAGAACGAAGAGAAAGCTCGGTCTCTGTTTGGAATCTCACTCTCTGTCAGACCCATTTGGCATCAATTCCTCATTTGCTCTTCTGGGTTCTTCTTCGGTTAAAATTTCATTTTTTTTTTGTTTTAATCTCAGTCGTTGGATGTGCAACGGCTGATCTCAGCTTTACAAAAAAAAGTGGTCGATGAATAATATGAGGAGAAAAAATTTGAACTACTATTCTTCAACAAAAAGCATTGGATCGAAGTTCTGAACTTCCAACCAGACAATTCAGTGTTCATAGTTTTAACAACAGAAACCTCAGCCATAAGATATGAAGAAGTCATGTTTCTCTCACACACATCTACTCAATTATAACAAAATAACAAATCATTCCAAACTCTCAAACTCCAAAACTACTTTCAAATATACAACCAAACAAACCAAAAAAATTTCTAAACTCTCTCCCCAAAACAATTTTTAAAAATTACTCTCCCAAAACCAAACCAAACATATCCAAAAATTCTTCAAATCTTGTCCTACATCACAATTTTACCCTAATCAACCAACTTAATCAAGAAAGAGTACTTTTTTTCATACCAAGAGGTCGATATATCATATTATCAATGACAATGCCGAAGATCTATATTTGTTTATAAACAGGTGGATGGGTTATAATTTAGGCCAAGAGAGGAAACATACTATTCCCAAGGGCCTCCAAAGTTGAGTCTAACTTATGTTTTGAAGTTGAATGGATTTGAATTTTTTAAATTTTGTTAACTAGCAGTATCAGATTGTCTTTGAATGAAATGCTAGTTTGCTTTAGGGGTATTGAAAATCAGTTACTGAGTTTATTCCTTTTATCTGCTTTTATAATTTCAGGTATCAGATTACCCGAACTATAAACCAGAAAACGAAGACTACGACAACCTTTACACGGGTACAGAGAATTTAGGAGGTGAAAATGGAGAAAGGTCTTCAATGCTGGTGGGAGGGTAGGTGTTGGAATTGGCCTCAGCATTTGTGTTGGAATTGGGATAGGTGTGAGCTTGCTGCCTCGAACCTACCAAGGAACTTGCCAGAAACTTCAGAAGGCGGCTATTATAGCCTATACTATCCTTGTTAGCCCAACATCATATATTTATGCTCTTGCATAGTCAAAACCTTGCTAACCTAACGTGTTTCTTATATTGGTTTTCCTTGGTTTCGGCTTGTGGTAGTTGAGGCTTTAATTCGAAATGGTACTTCTAACAACATAAGAATTATAGCGGCATTCCCTCCGCTTGATTTTGTAGGAAATAGCAGACTTTGACTTCCATAATCACTGTGAATTTTTATTTTTTTTTTAATGTTTATGTTTCATTAAAATTGTTAATAGCAGTAAGTTTTGGTGATGGAGAACGATTTAGAGATCCCTTTCAATGGGTTAAAATTATGTGTTTATACCGGGATGCCATACAATATAGTTCAGAAGTTTGAGAAATTAAGGAGGAGATTCACAATATTCAGGATATCCATGTGATGCCTAATCCAAAATCATTACAACATATGATGTATTTAGATTCGGATTTCATTAAATCTACGAAGAACAAGCATAAATTCAAAAACTTAATATATATATATATATATATATAATTATCGTACTCAGGAATCAAGTCTATCAAATGGCATTGAAAAACAGCCACAAACAGTTGGCTTGGCAACAGCCTTCAAAGATTTATTTTCTCGAACTACAGGTGCTTTACATGGTTTGCTTTCAAGAGAGACCAAGGCATATATACAGCCATCAGTTTTACACCCTAACATCATATCAATATGCACAATATTTGACAGGAAAGGCAAGAAACCTATGGTAGAACAAATACTGACTGTTAAAACTGTCAAACACAAGTTTCAAAACCCTACTCACAAAGATTTTCGGCTTGTAGGGGATGAGTTGCACTACGGAACCAGGTATTGAATGGAGTTAGCAAATGAGGACAGTCTTGAACATTTCGAGTTGAGAAGCTGAGACACTGCTGCAACAATTCCTGTGCATCCAACATGGGCAGTGTAGAGATAATTTTCAGGAATGTTTCTTCGAGCTCCAAATACAGTGATTTATGACTGGGCAGCATGGGCGAGACGTGATCTTTGCATACATTCAACACTGGAAGCCAATCTTTAACGAGCTTCATCCTAACCTGTGGCAGAGAATCAAAAATAATGCAAGTCAGCTATCTAAACTACCCACTAAGTTTAGAAGAAATGGCTACTCTTTACAAAAAAAAGTGGTCGATGAATAATATGAGGAGAAAAAATTTGAACTACTATTCTTCAACAAAAAGCATTGGATCGAAGTTCTGAACTTCCAACCAGACAATTCAGTGTTCATAGTTTTAACCTGTGTTACATGGACTCTTCTATTTCCCCCACAATACCCGTGTCCACCGGATATGACATGGATAAGGGTGTGGGATATGTGTCCGACGCTCGTACCCAATTTAGACACTCAGATCCTTTAATTTGTGACAATACATGAAGAAAAAGAAACTTGCATTTGTTAGTAAAGCAATATTTTTAGGCTCCCACATGAATTAGATATAGAAATTTCTTATTTTTTTCTAAATCATATTTAATTTCTAATATATTTCTACATAATTTAAATCATCTCATCCGAAAATATTATATAATATGCAATATATATGTGCATATGACGTGTCCCCGTATCCATATCCAATTTTGGATACATATCCCAAGATCCTAAGATTTAAATTTATGAAGGTCTGACGCTTGGATACACACCCGCACCCGACACTCGTACCCGAGTCCATGTAACATAGGTTTTAACAACAGAAACCTCAGCCATAAGATATGAAGAAGTCATGTCACCGTGTAAAGTATGCAAATTCCTTGTAGAAGCTCTTTTTACACCATTCCTAATTTTGTTGTTTCCCGTAAAGTCACAGTGAAGCGATTGCTAAACTCAAATCTCCAACATTAAGCTATTGTTTATGGTTTACAAAACTACAAAAACAAACAGCACAGAAAAATTACTTTGTTCTCAAGCCTATTGTAAATCTAGCCTATTGGGAATTATGTTGAAACCGAAATTAAGGTCATGTTCAGATCTTGGATTTGTGGAAGAAAAGGGTAAGAAGAAGTAGAAGAAGAAGAAAGGGAAAGAAAATGAAGTAAAGGCTAATTATGATATATAATTTTAATGCCCAATAGGCAACATGGCTCTATTTGAGTCAACTTAAAGGAAATGGATCCACATAGCTGACATAACTAATTGAGATCACGTCTTTCGCTTTAAATTGAAATAAGTAGAACCAACATTTATATTAAAACTAGAAAAAATATACTCCATATATAGATACGCGTCAGCATACGAAGCTTACTTATTTAAAGGATTGAATGATGGACATACAATCAGCTCCATTTAAGAATAAACTGTACATATAAAGTATTCGATTGAATGATTAAACCATTGATTTTGTCCCATGCCTTAGATCCGGCAAAGATGGTATACATATCATGCTGTTAAAACTCATTCAATGATACTAAAGTTATATACAATTGCTTTCGCAAATGGGACCTGTTATATTACAAATTTTGATCCTTTAAATAAGTAAGCCACGTGTACTAACAAGTTACTACATGTGGAGTAAAACTATTTCCAAATAGTCCAGAAATCTTCTTGGCATTTTAATATATATATATATATATATATTAATGCAGCGCCCTTTAATAGATCAACCTTGTGGGTATTATTCATTAAAAATAAAAATAAAAATATCAGACCTAAATTTGAAAACTACCTAATTAAGGGGTTGGGCATAGTTATTAAAGGCGTGTGCACCGTAAGGTATCAAGGTCTAACGAAAAACTATGCACAAGTAGAACTGCAATTCACCACCTTAAACACTTCGATGAAAACTTATATGAAAACTTATAATTTACAGACATAAATGTTTAAAAATCAAAATAATAATATTTTACCAAATTATTATCTCTTTTTTTTTTCTTTTTGATTTGTTGTTCTTTTCTTATTTCATAGTACGTAAATATATTAAAACTATTAAAACATAGCCCCAAGGGGTTGGCTTGGTTGCAAGGCCATGGTTCTTGAGGGTGTACTCCCTCCAAGGTTTAGGGAAAAACCCTTAAATTAATAGTGATGCATTTGTGGGAAACTTCTTGCAGAGGGCCAGTGCTAGGGCTGTTCAAATGAACCGAATACCCGCCCAAACCGTCCGGGCTGCCACGGACGGTTTCGAAGAGAAGAACAGTCGGCTGTGGTTTTTCTATACTAAATTTCATAGATTCCCGGCCGGTAATGGATTTTTCATATATAAATCCGCCAAACCCAGCCCGACCGAAACAATAACGTGTATATATATAATATTTATATATTTACATTGAGAGTATTCATAGCAGTCTGTCTGCCCCTTCACTTTCCAAAGAGATTAATTTCTCTTCACTTTATGTCTCTCATAAAATCTTGAAAGACTCAAAATTGAAAAGGCATTCCCTTCTCTCTCTTTACTTACTCTCATTTGTTCCTCCCCTCTCTCTTCTTTCTTCTCTCATAAACCGTGGAAAGAACAAAAATGATGAGTCTCTCCCTCTATTGTCTTCACAGATTTATTTCTCATTTTTCTTCTTTCTCTCATCAACCCTAGGTAGACCAAAAGTTGAAGAATCTCTTCTTTTCTCTCTTCAATCTCGTTTCTGGCCTTTCTTTTTCTCTCATTTTTCATCTTTTTCTTTGAGAGACAAACTCATCTCTCCCTCATGATTCATCTGTGCTTCTCTTTCTTTTGATGGTAATGGTTGTGGTGAAGACGATGTAGTTAACAATGGCAACGATCTGCGATGGCGATGGAGATGATTACAGCTACGATGGTGAGTCTTTCTCTTTCTTTCTCCCTTTTTCTTTGTTCATACACTGTCATAGATGTGTGTGTGTATATGTATATATACATATATATGTGTGTGTATATTTATGAGTATGGATTTAATTCAATATTTTACACAAAAATTTCACCCCTACTTAGATTTTCGAATTAGACCAAACCGACCGTCAAACCGTCTTCTTTAATTCGGTCGATTTCGAACCACACTTCGGTTGACCACGGATCACTAATTTATTAACCCGAAAGTGTCGGTTCGGCTGACGGATAAAGGGTAAACCCGAGCCGAACCGACCCGTGAACAGCCCTAGCCAGTGCACCCCAGAGGATTAGTTGGGCTTTGATCCGGATGCCCCTGTGCCAATCAAAAAGTTAATAATAATAAAGAAAAAACATCTTTCTTGCAGACTTGCACCCATTTATTCAAAAAACAAAAAGAAGAGCAACACCAATAATAGCAACAAAACCACAACAATCATGGCTATGAAGAATCAATATATTGGAAAGTCTTACAATGGTCCTCTTTTACAATGTTAACTCGTTGCAAAAGAAATCAAAAGTGAAAGAAGAAGATACAATGACAAAGAAAGGTATAAAAATAAAAAATAAAAAAACCTAACCCACATCACCAAAAAACAAAAACAAAACAAAACATGCAACTGCACAAAGACGAGCAACGGGAGAGTTTAGAAAATCTAAAACAGAGTTCTTTTTGGATAGAAAATGTAAGTACACAAGGTAATGTTGATGAAAAGTTGCAAATTCTCATAGATGAACGGGGGCCAAATGATAAAAATAATATAAACAAAAAACAAAAGATGAAAATAATGGCGAAGGAGAAAATAAGGTGTTCAATATCAATTAGTCTAAATTAACAAGCTATCGCTGAGTCACGAGCCCAGGTTTTTCAAAACAAAAAAATTGTACTTGAATTCATAAATTTTGTTCTGAAATTAGTATTTTGTCGTTCTTTGAACAATCAGATGAGTGAGTATTCTAATGGTCCAAAAATTTATAAACAATGACAGTGTCTTAGGACAGCAACAGGTAACTAGGAGTACAATAAGTAAGTGATTGATTCTAAAAAATCACCTAAATAATAACAGGTATTCCAAACTCAAAACGCAAAGTCAAAACCATTCAACTTGCTCAGAAAAATATTGTCTAATCACCAACATAGTTTGCTAGTCAAAACAAGCGATAAAGATAGGGCACAGGGGTAAATGATGAGGCAGAAAGTAAACCTACTGCTTTCAAAAAAAAAAAAAAAAATTTATTCTTTTTTCTACCCAAATCATCCAATCCAAATGGACTGTAACAGAGATTAGCACATTCATATCACATTGTACTCTCAAACCATAACAAGCCCATTGAGAGGAGTAATGTTCAATATGCAAAACAAACATCAATTTTCATGAAAAACAGTTATGCAATAATCTTGGAAAATGCATGAGACCCCCAGTGGGGGTGCTGGGGGTCTCTTCTCATTGGCCCAAAAAACTCTTTTTTTTTTTTTTTTGGGTTGTCGGCCA